AGTGTGACTGGTTGAATGAGAGCTTTTTGGTTCCCTTCTGAGGTGAGAGCATCCATAATACATAAGCATACAATTTTTGTATTGGTTTCATCGTTTGGTGTATATATATTCCTTCTCTACCACACCTATGTTAGGTGTGGTAGAGAAGGAATATATAGTCAGCTATGAGAAGGAAACTGAGTTTTTCTTGTATTTACCTACATAGCATAAACTAGTTCCATACAAAAGCTCAGTACTTCATCTGTCGTTGCTAGTTAGAGATGTGCAGCAACTTTCTTCAGGCATTTCCTCTTGGAAGAAAACTGTACTTTGCAGCCTTGTATACCTCCTTCTAAGGAAGATGGGAATAAATTAGAGGAGAGCTGATCTAGCCCAGTACTGTGTAGTTTCTCACAGTGCCTTTGCAGGCACAGTTCTGAGTGAAAGCAGTCTTCTCTGTAAACTCTTAGCTAATGTGATTTTGGCTAATTATTGGGTGGTATTTTAGAAAGAGAAAGACCTTAATTTTCCTGTAGCTATATTAGTTTGTTTTTTTCCCAATGAAAAACTCATTTTGTTATAGTTTGACACTTCAATTTTCCTTTGCGTTAGTCTTTTTTTTTTTTTTTACTGTCTCTCTGCAGTATTTCATGTGCAGATTCATCTGTATATTTCATTAGTGTGCTCGTCAGATCAGTGTGATCCAAATGATTTAAAATAAGAGTAGTGTTGTTGGGCTTGTTGTTGTTGTTTTAACTATAGAAGTGGGTTTTAGAAATTATTCTTGGGAATTTACTTTTTCTAAATTTCCATCTGTTGGTGTTAAGTAAAGAATTTCTTTTCAAATGAAGAGTTATTTTGATCCCTCTGAAATATGTTTTAAGTCCGTGTTCCTCCTTCTTCTCCTCCTCTCTTTTCCTTTTATTGTTAGCAACATAAAACTGTTATATGTAACTTAATTCAGATTCTAGGAAATACAGAGAACAGCAGAAAATATAAAATGCAAAGTCAGTTGTGATGATATCAGAGAAGTTCAGCCTACGTGCTAAAATATTTATTTTGCCACTTTCAGAGTGACCCTGAAGAGAGTTAATGAAATATGTTCTGCATGGGCATCTGCTCTTTTGCTTCCTTTCAGGTCTGGAGATTGTGTTGTTGGTTGGTTGGTTGGCTTGGGGGCTCTTCATTACTTTGGTGTCTTTTCAGTTGCTTCTGTTTCAACAGATGTGATCAGAGACAAGGATAAGCCTCAAAGAAAGTTAGTGGCCAGCGTAATGCTGATGAAACTTTTCTGTACATGGTTGTACAATAATGAAAGATGTCTTACATAGCTCTCTACTTATGCAAGTTCTTTTAAAAACTCAGCCCTCCCTTCACAATAGCAATATGAAGGTCTCTATCTGATCTTGTTGCTAAAGGAGCTTGTACCAGAGTGTCATGCACAAACGGGGAGTTTTTCTTGTGAATGAGGAGGTGATTTTACCTTGCATGCATTACTGAAGGACTGATTTTACCATTTCATACATAGGGTGACTGCCCCTAAGGTGGTTAAAAGACTGGAGGGGTTGTAGAAAATGGTTGTAAAAAAAAGGAACTGGATCAAATACCTATCTATGAAAGGCTTAAACAAGTCAATCTGTTTAACCTATCAAGACTAAGGGATGACTTAATTGCTGTATATAAATGAATGCCTTGATGCTAAGACAATATTGAGTATTAAAGACTCTTCAACAGTAGTTGGAAAAAGGATAATAAATAAGAGGCTAGAAGATTAAACCAGACAACTTACAAGTAGAATTTGACAAATGTTTGTAATGGAAGGGGTATTCTTTATGACTGGAGGTGGTGTATTCTCTTTTATCTCAGGGTGTTACCAAATGCATGAGATGATGTTTGCTTTAGATGAACACATGTTTAAAAGAAGGGGTGATGTGGATTTGGCACAGGGTTTACTGGTTGAAATTAATAATCTACAGAGTGTGGCCAGTCATGCTATTTCTTTGTGGTCTGTTTGCCTTTAAACTTCACGAACTTTCAACTTACTCCATCTCTACAGACAGCTAGTCACTGGAGCTGTGTAGCCATGCATAATTATTCATGTTCTTGTCTTTTTAAATCAAAAAGTTTATATTGCCAGGATATGTTAGGAATTAAGGTGTTAGAGCCATCTTATTTTACTGCATTCACATACTGTATGTTCTCTGACTTGGCTGGTTTGAAAGCATGATTCTGGGGAATACTTTTCTCTCCTTTTTTCATATTGACTGGTGGAAAGTAGGTGTTTAAGAAATCTCACTCTACCCAAGACAGTGCTAATGCAAACCCAGATTTTCTAACCCAAGAGATTTGGATAAGGCTATTGGAAGAAATGAGCTTGATTCTTTTCAGAAGTGAGCCTGTCATGTTATAAGACACTCTAATCTCTACAGGACACTACAGAGGGGAAAAAAATGTTGGGTTTTCAGAAACTTTGGGGAAAAAATACACACAGGACCACCTACATTTATAGTTTTATAGCTGTCCCAGGCTAAAAAGACATAGAAAAGACACTTTTAATTATCTTTACTCTTTCCATTGTGAAGGAAAAAAATAACCTCCTACTATGTGTGGGTGAGAGAGCACTGGCACAGCCTTCCCAGACAGGCTGTGTGGTCTCCCCCCTTGGAGGTCTCCAAAAGCTGCCTGGATGTGGTCCTGGACAGCCTGTGCTGGGTGGCCCTGCTTGGACCAGGTGGCCTCTGGAGGTTCCTTCCCACCTCAGCCACTCTGTGAGTCTGTGACCCATAGTGTCACTATGACACCTATTAAAGACAGCTGTGCTGTTCCAGCTAACAGGTTGCAGTGCCAAGAGTATATGACAGTCCTGGCTAAGCAGCCACCACAAGATTTTGAGGATAGTGAAGCAAGTGGGTGCAGGGCAAAGGAGAAGGTTTGTAGATGGCACAGCTTTGGTGGGCTGTTCAGTCTGCCTGCTCTTCTTTCAAAAGAAGTGAGACTTTTGCAAAGATGCAGGATTCTTTGGAGAGGAGAAAATGGCATAACAGAAAATCTTCTGAAAGTAACCTAATTGCTGCTATGCATCAGGTCCGCATTTGTATACTTGAATTGGATGGGAAAAGGCTGTTTTCTGAGGAAAGATGAGACTTTTCTCCCAGTAGAGATGAGAAGCAGTAAGACAATGTAGTTTACAGTAGATATGGGTAAAGTTGTTTGTTTGTTTGTTTTATCTCCCCACTCTCTCTGTGGCTCTGTGTTACACATATGCTGTGCCTCTGCAAACCTGAGGACATCAATCAGGCTGTTTCAACAGGAGAAAGTATGACTCTTAACTGTGTGATCTTGGTGGGAATGTGTTTGCGAGAGATACTTTTGGCAAAATATTTACTTCCTCAAAGCTGTGTGTAAGTTACTAGTTATCCTTACTTCATACAGAAAAATGCTTTACAATATTACCATCAGAAATTATCCCCGGGAAGACATGCCATGTAACAAAGGTAGCACAATGAAACGGCTTCTCTGCTACAGTCATTTACAAATTTATAAACTTTAAGCTGTAGTAAGAAGTCTTGTTTTTGCTGCTTTTCTTAATATGATGCAGAATATCTTTTAGAAATATTCATGGAAAATGTGCTATGTCCTTTCTTTCGCTCTAATCCTCTGTATTACCTGTACAAAGAACAAGGATTTGCAACCCCCCCCCCCCCTTTTTTTTTTTGCTTATCTATGCTGCAGTCCCGCTGTCATTGTTTGATTCTGCTTAAATCCCTCTGTACCTAAAGGTACAGCCTTATCAATTGAAAAGCTAATGCTATATAAGAAGTGAAAAGAACACAGAAAGGTTTCCTAGCAACTACTGTGAATCCTTCTAAAGTAAGTCAGTTAAAACCATGTAGTACGTGCAATGGGTGTAAATTAGGGAGCTAAGCTGATCCACAGATTTACAGATGCCCACTATAAAGTATAATAAAACCTGTAATAGAAGGTGAATTGCTTGAGAAGAAAATCACATCAGAGTCTTGACAGCTTTATCATTATTTAAATGATCCAGCTTAAATTCTACTAGGTAGTTAGTAAGACTGAGTGTCAGAGCTACACTGACAGTGTACAAAAGCACAGTTAATGGCACTGGTTAGTGTCGCTGCTGCGATGATGTCTTCTATTGCTCTTTCTAAAAACAACCAGCAAACAGAAACAAACAGAATCAGCTCTAAGGGGCAGTTGTGAGGGAGCCATTGCAGGGTGCAAATATGCAAAGCCACCTCTGTGAAGCAGGGTCCTTTTTGTTTTGTTCTGCTTTCCACGGCACGAATTAAATTGGACATTTTTAGGTTAGTAAAATCTGTTCCGGAAAGCGCAGGAAGGCTAACAATTATCTGTGTCCCCGCACACTGCCCTCCCTTGCTCTCCCGGACACCAGCATTTCAGTGGAGGTTTCTTCTTTCCTCAACACTTTTATATTGTAGGTATTTCTTAAAGAACTCCTTGAGCTAGTATTACTTAGAGAATCAAGCTAAAAGTATGACTAAAGGGAGACCTGAAGTTTCCCTATTGTTCTCTGGTAAACAAATGTGCTCTAGTAAATAGAAAGACAGGACAGGGTTCAAGCGCCACGTATAACCCCATCCTGAGATAAATGCATGCCTGAAGGAAGCCACGTGTTGAAGAATGCCATTTGGGACGAAGATTTTGAGGTTGTGGTTTTTTGTTTGTTGACTTAAGTCACCCCTGAAATGAGACCCATATGTGAAAACCAGACAGAGATCACAGTCCCTCTGCAGGAATAACACGTGCGTGCATGTTCACATGTCTTTTTATAACAGTTTTTAGCCTTTGGTTTCTTCAGTTTTGCAGATTCCAATAAGCAAATCTGAAAAGGTCTGAGGCATCGGCACACTCAGGTGCTTACCCCGTGCTTATCCCTCCCTGCCTTTGTTGGTCTGAAAATGAGGTTGGAGCTGTCAGCAGGCTGACCTTTCTCACATAATTGTGTTATTTCTGCTTCTCCTCCTGTCTTCTCCCAGGAAGTGCAAAGACACAAAGATGTTTAAAAACAACAACAAAAGGGAACGGCAGCACTCTGAAACACCGAGCAAGTTTGGAGTAGCGCTGAAGCTGGCAGCGGCCTCATCTGGCTCGTGTTTTGCACTCCGGAGGGAGAGGCCTGCCACTCTTAACCCTTCCGGAGGGCGTAAAGGCAGGTGTGAAAACTGTGAAGAAGCAGTTTTTTGTCAGACGCTTCTTCCTTGCTCCCTCCAGCCTCACTCGCCAACAGCTGCACTTCTACAAGCACTGTGGTAAAAGTATTCATTTGCTCTGTGGTTTTGAACCGTCAGTTCTCACAGAGCTGACCAGTGCGTTAGGAGCACTGGGAAACTGAGTGTAATCTTTGTTTTCTGTAATATGAGATGTTTGTGTGTTATCTCTAACAACTTACCTCGTGTGCTGAGTGGTATCAGTTTTAAAAAATTGAAAGAATTAACTGCAGAAACTCCTTTCCCTGTAAAGCACTGAAACACAGGCTTATAGCCAGCAGCAGCTTACAGTCAGTGCACGTATGTAGTAGCGCATGTCTGCTGCATGACCTGGCTGCACAGTTGTCATTTGTAGCCTTTGATGACTCATTAAGTCATTTTTAGCTCTGTTGGGTTACTTCTGTCACAGATTGATTGTTAATAGTATGCAAAACCAGAGGCAGAACATGTTAGGGGATTCTTCTTTTACAGGTAAAGCAGCAGAGTAGGTGCTGATTAGGTGCAGTCATCTGCTTTCATCTTTCTGGCAAAGGAAGTAGTCTTGCCAAATACCATCGTCCTGCTAAGATTCATCAATACACTACTGGAGAGGAGGCCTTCCAATCATCCGTGGAATTTAATTTTTACCCTCTGTGTAATTAAATTGCTACTCTGAAGATTTGTGCTAAGCATAGGGGAATAATTTAGACACACAAAGTAATAAAGCTTCCAGATGGTAAATTCATGAGTCTGTTTTCGGGTGGTATCATTAATTATTCTAGTTGTGTTTTGTTTTTGTTTTTTTTTGTCTACACTCGAGCTGTCATCATCTACAACAGTGACCAAAACCTGAGCCACAGTCTAGATACTTGTTCCTTGGCTTTCTTGGTTGAATTTTGCAGCGGGACAAAAGGTACAGGAATCACGTTGAAACTCTCTTTTTCACTGAAAAAGAGTTTTGGCTGTTGTATCTTAGATGAGCTAGGTTGACAGTGCTCCTGGACATCATGTAAATAGCTTTCTTTCTTTCTCCATTCCTTGAATGTGATTTTGGTCTTCTGCTTGTCCAAATCAAGAAATCATTGTCAAGTAAAAAGAATAAATGACTGTGAAAGACATAGGCTGCAAAAATCTGTTTACTTCTACTCAGCTTAGAAATTATTACTATGCTATGACTTTGTGTGTTTTGTCAGGATCTAACTTTCTGATAGCCTGATTTTCTGATACCTTTAGTAATAGCCAGATTCCAGCAGCAACACTGTAGTCATAAGAATAAATGAACTTAAAATTTATCTTCACATTCTGTTTTTTTATGAAATGGACTGAAATTGTGCTATAGGTATTTTGTGCTACTGGTTTCTCTATATGTCTTATAGTACGTGATTTGCGAGAATTCATCTTAAAAATCAGGAAGTGCAGTGTCTGTAAATCTGTAATCGACAAGGAGTGTTTATTTCAGTTTATGTAAAATTTATATGTGAGTGTGAATAAATACTGCTTAGCTAATCTGGATGTGTGTATATGTACATACACAGTATTTAGATTTCACTATCTTTACCAGGTCACTTACATGGCAGATGCTATTTCTTAGGATAGTGCTCATCTAAACTATCATGAAATTATTTCCTGCAGTAAATCTGCAGTTTTGAGGTGGCCTGAAACACGTTTCTCAGAAACATTTCTCACTGTCAACTTCTGAAAGCTATTTTCATCAAGACCTTGTCCCCATAATTATTAGTATGTTCAAGAACCTTGGAACCAGTGCAAGACATTTTATTAGTATCTAAATATTCACAGGGATGACAAAGTATAGAGCTTAACAGATCATTAAACAGAAATCTATATTTGGAATGAAACTACTCATCTGGATTTGAAACTGTTTGCCTTGCGTTTATGGGGATAAATTCTGACATATTACTGAAAATTTACTTCACACACTTTCTTCTTACATCAGTCTAGAGCATAGTGTTCAGAAATCATTCAGAGCTGAGAAATTTGGAAAAAGACTTGCTTCCTTTGTCGTTAGAGTCCTTCCCAGCCGGTGCTGTGGAACAGAAGCTGCTGCACGACACAGCAATTGGTTTCAACTAACTCATGATCGTGCACGAAGCAATTCCCTATACATGAGATTTATAACCTGTTTAATCCTTTCTTCTTAATGTCCCTGTTATTCAATTACTGCCATTTCACACACATTTCTCTAATCTTATTTCATCTTCTTTTAGCCTGCTCTTTGCAGGCTCTTTGCTTTGAAGCTGATGGAAGGACTTGCACTGACTACACTGTAGAATAGATAAGATCTGGTTTGTTTTTCTGAGGAAAAGAAACCTAGCCTGTGCTCAAAGCACCATGCACAGCTATAGTGATAATAAATTTGCGTGCGCCAACCATCTTTCAAGATGTTCCTGTACTTGTTTGTTTCCTGAAAAACGAGGTGTTCTTACTACTGTCAAGGATGCACAATAGCATGATTAAGGAAGAGGGAAGTTGATTCTCTTCTGCTTTATACATCAGATTGTACCATGCTTCTCAGCATGGGATTTATATTATCTGTAATGGTAATTTAAAGAAAAAAAGACTATATTTTACTTTTAAATCACCTTTTTTCCTGTTTTCAAATAGAAAGAAGTCCACTTGAAATATGAATACATATAACTGAGAAGGAGGGAAACATCAAATTTTGTAGTATTATTTTACAAAACACTTTTATTGTCCTACTGCACAGTTAGAACTATCAAAAGAGAAGTGGGATGCTCCTGACAGGTAAAATTTTATTTGTACAAGGCTATGCATCACTGAAGTACTACTTAAACCCTGAAATAAGTGGGCCTCAAGTAGTTTGTAGGCCATCGTGCAAGGATAGATTTCACCCTAAGAAATATCAAGTGGTATTTTTCAATCTAAATCAATGGTCTGGAAAGCACAGTAAAGTCTAAATACTGATGATTTATAAATCTATGTGTACACAGGGTGTGTATAAATATGTGTATATATAGAAACATGAAATATGAACACTAAAATGTACTTGAATTTAATTAAATTTTGCTGAAAGAAAAGTCTTGAGTCAAGAGGTAGGTTTGCAGTTGTTTTTTCTTCCTTTTGTGGAATGTTTTGCAAATCATACACTAAAGAGAACTGAGAATTTTGGAAATATGGACAGCATTTTGTTTTACCAACCATGAAGCAGGAATGATGTTGCTTTCATTTAGTATTGTACCTAAAGCATGCAATCCAGTAACACAGTACAACCATTCTGAAGGGGCATAGTGATTTGGGCATGAAAAGACTAAAATTATAGGAAAATGAAGCTCAAAATTACATGTCCTGTGAGGAAGAAGGTCCTTGGTGTGCAAAAAGCCAGAATATCAGATATAAGCCTATTACACTTGTTACCTACCTTTCAGTTAGAAATTGCTGCAAGCCAGAAAAAACTGTTGTTCACACTTCTCAAGTTTAATTCAGTCAGATCCGTTGAAGCTTGAGTCTTTAGTAAAGGACATTTTTTCAAGAAAGTAAACTTATCTCTCTTCCCTTCAGGGTTTTCTCTCTCTTATCCTTTCCTAGGGAAACTCCACTGAAGAAAAAGCAGCACCACTGCTGTCTGCTGTCGTCTGGCTGTTTAAGGTTCCAGCATGACATTGTTTTTCAGAGATGATGGCCACAGATATTAAACAGGATGGCAGATTTGAAGGATACTCAGAAAGATGTGACAGGGGCTCCTTAATACTGTTCAAATTAATGCATTAACACTTTGACCTTCCATAAATTCAAAAGGACAATGCAAAAACAGGCAGAACAAAAATCAAACAGCCAATCAAAAATACCTAAATCTGATCTCAAAGATCGATAAATCAGAATTTCTGGTTTACTTGTTCTTGTAGAAAATTACCAGAGAAAATGTCTCTCCAGGCTGAGAGATGTTGTCCCATGTGCTTTGTACTGTTTTTCATTTCTTTGTCTTGTGACTGTGTAATTTCTATGTAAATTGCCATAGACATAAACAGTGGATGTGTAAATCTTCATTTCTAAGGCTTGAGAAAGAGAAAATGAGTAATTTTCAGAGTATGTTGTGGATTATTGAAGTCAGCAGCGATTAAAACCATGAAAAGATACGTGAGACTATAAAAACCTGCTCTTGATTTGAAGCCTACACATCAACTTTGTTCTCAGGTGCACCACTGAGAGTTGGCTTTTATGAGTATGTGTACGTAGATGTGCACGTCTTTCTTCATCTGCACAAGGAACATTAGCAAAACTCTTTGTATTTTGGAGTAAATCAGTTTGAACACACAGACTTGTTCTGTACTCATCACTCTCTGCATTTATGTTACTTTTCTGTACAGCTAAGAAATGTGTTGGCACGCTTAACATCTTTCCCAGATGGTATCGGTCTTCCTCCAGAGGGTGTATTTTCTCTGTTTCTTGTTAAGATTTTTTTCCTTACTATTAGTATTATCTATTTATTGATTTATTTTTATTAAGCAGGTTAAAAGCTCCTTAGCATCCCTAGAGTTTGGGTTCTCTCTCTGTGGCCAGGGATTTTACTGTGGTTACCAAAATATTCTTCTTTTACATTGTCTTCTGCACTTACTACTTACAGATAGACTATGCAGATCAGAAAAAAAAAAAAAAAAGTTTCTTTCTGTATACTCTGGAGAAATATATTAGGATGGTGTGCAAAGCAATTGCTTCTACCACTTGAGCTGAAGGATCTCAAGACCCAAAGGAATGGGATTCTTTCAGTGTAACAGTTCCTTTGAAATCATCCTTATAACAATATGAAACAAAAATAAATAAATAAAATAAAAACTGCTTATCTGAATGCAGACACTGTTTCTCCAAATACAGACAGAAACAGTATGTAAACTTTATAGAAACAGGTAGCCAGAAACGAAAGGAAGATAAGGATTATATCCTCTTATTACATAAATTAATGCAAATAACTTCCAATTACTTAAATTAACAGGTTATTTTCACTGTGATCCAGGTGTCAGGGAATGTTCTTTGGTTGCATTAATGGAAAAGGCTGGCTTTGGGGCCTTATAGGCCTCTGATAGGCCTGATTTATCATTTGATATTTATTCAGATCTGATCCTGTCCTCAAATGGTTCCTTGGACATTCATTTGATCAGGACAGGACCCTGCATTCCTGCTACCGGGTGACTGTTCCCTCCAGACAATATCCCTTAGGTGGGACAGTAACAAACCAAGCTAGCTACTTCTCCATTGCTTGGTTAAGCTCCATGTTGGGAGGCAGGACAACATAATTCTTAAATTCCATTTGAATCTATAATTTTCTAATCTCACTTTATACAATCCCATAACTAGGACTAATGGATTTTGGGGGAATTGGTACGTATTCTGCCTTTGAGAGATGTTGTGACAGAGTTGTTGTTCCATATCTTAGCTGTGTAAAATTAGCAGCAATTCTAAAGTTGCCTTCAAATGTTTCGCATTCTTGCGCATTCTAAGAGCAAAAGTTTCATGAAGTTCTTTGTTCTATTATTTTGTTTATATATTTTGCTTATATTTTAACTCGCGTTATGCATTTCAGTTGGTTTTCTGGTGCAGTAAAGCACTATTATGAAGTTTACAGGAGTTAGGGAATTAGGCTTTTTTTTTCTTTTTTTTTTTTTTTTTTTTTTTTTTTCCCGATGGCTTTCCCCAAATGAATCAGATGGTTGAAATTCCAATCATCCAGGTGAAAAGCAAATTAAAAAAAAAAAAAAATCTCTGCCTATTAATACCAATGTAAAGTGGCTAACAAAGAGCTGAATTGTTTTACACTGGTCCTTTGTACTGCCACCCTGACACACAAAAAAATTACGTTTGAGCCAGAAAATCTAACTTGCAGTGAAGCTGAAATTTATTTTTAGATGAGCACATTGCTGAGATGGCAGTATTAAGAGAAGGTTGATCAGCTCCGAGTCAAAACTAAACAGGAAGTTGAGATGTCTCCTATTCATCTTTGGGCAGGGCTGTTAACCCACGACAATTTCTTTGTTGGCACTCTGTTGGCATGGATTTCCTTAATTTAAAGAGTTCTACAGCACACTTCATAAAATTAATGTTGAGGAATAATCTTTAATTAATGGCACATTTTTTTTCCCTTTAAAATTAGAAACACTTGTCAAACAATAACTCAGTGTCATAATTGTAAATGTGGATGTTCTACAGATATTGTCATCTCAACAGAAATAATGGCAAAGCCCAAAGCCCATTAAAATCAATAAGCTCAGAATTGAATTATTCAAATTTTAGACTAAAGATTTTCTATGTAGCTTTTCTGAATATATGACCTTCTTGTTTCTTAATGTGATCCTGTGTTTGTGTAACTTGGCATTTTATTTTCTCTTTGCAAGGGTTAAAGTATTAATCTCTATCAAAGTGTAGCAGGACACAAAACAAGCTGACTGGAAAGTTTCCAACGTCTGTTGTAATCTGTGTAATGCATTTTTGAGTGGCAACAAAAGTCATAATCTATTTCCACCC